TGCCACTGACTGAAGCAGTTTTAACTGGTCCAAATAAGTCAATGTGCAGAAGTTCTAATGGCTTAGAGGTAGAAACAACATTCTTAGATTTGAAAGAAGGTTTTGCAAACTTGCCTTTCTGACATGCTTCACACAGAGCATCTGAATTGAACTTCAAATTAGGAAGTCCTCTGACCAGATTTAGTTTGTTAATCTGAGATATTCTTCTCATACTAACATGCCCCAATCTTCTGTGCCAGATCCACTGCTTGTTGTTAACAGACAGAAGACACTTTACATTCTGACTTTTCAGTTCAGAAAGTTTGATTTTATAGATGTTGTTTTTCCTCTTTCCATTAAACATGATAGTCCCATCTTTCTGACTAACAGCTTTACATGATTTTTGATTAAAGATTATATCATAACCGTTATCACTTAATTGACTTATGGATAACAGATTATGCATTAATCCATCTACTAGCAGAACATTATTTATAGAGGGAATATTTCCATTACCTACAGTTCCAGAGCCAATGATCTTTCCCCTCTGATTGCCTCCAAAGCCAACGTGGCCTCCAGGCTTAAGTTCCAGGCTTTGGAACATATGCCTTCTTCCCGTCATGTGTCGCGAGCATCCAGAGTCCAGGTACCATGACTGGTGTTTCTGATTTGCTGCTAAAGATATCTGCAACATGTATTATTTTATCCTTAGGTACCCAGATTTTCTTGGGTCCTGATTTGTTAGATTTACCAAAACTCTGGTTGAATTTTGGTTTCACAGAATACTTACTGCTAGTATATTTAATATCATGTGTGTGACCATACACAAAATGTGAGTTCAGAGGAGTGTGTTTAATGGTTAAATCCATGGAATTCTTTGGTGTAGGAACCTTACCTTGGTATCCTATTCCCTTCCTGCCGTTTCTGCTAACTCCATAGATCATTGAAGCCATTTTGCTTCTATCTATGCTTTTAGCAAGGAACTTCTGTAAACTATGATCATACTCCTTGATGATCTCATCAGCGCTGCTGGGAGTTTCAGAAATTGGTTCCTTCTGAGAGTTTTGTAAAACATTTTCTAATTTTGAAATTTTATTTCTCAGCTCAGAATTTTCCAATTTAAGACTCTCAGTCTTATCAGAGTCAGATTCAAGATTCCTTTTCAGGTTTCTGAATTTAACTCTAATCTGTTGTTACCTTTCCAGAATTTCATTAAGGCTTTCAGCAAGTTCAACCTTAGTAAAATTAATTGCAAAGTCAGGAAATACCTCTTCAGTATCTGATTCTGAGTCTGATTCATAAGCTTTACTATCTTCTGAAATATTGGCCATGAGAGCTATGTTTGCCCTCTCATCATCTGATTCTGAGTCAGCTTCAGACGAGTCAGAGTCATCCCATGTAGCCATGAGACTTTTCTTCATTTCTCTTCCAAACTTCTTTTTGGGCTTTTCCCTCTAAAGCTTTGGGTAGTCACTCTTGTAGTGTCCTTGCTCATTGCACTCATAGCAGATGATGTCCTTGGTGTTTGGCTTTCTGCTTCCTGAGGAGCCTTCAGATCTTCTGTATCCAGAGGAAGAATTTGTCCTTCTGTATCTGGAAGAAGACTCATTCTGATCAGATCTTCTGGGATTCCTGAACTTCCTTTGCCTCTGCTTCCACAGTTAGTTCACTCTTCTGGAGAGGAGAGAAAGTTTGTCTTCTTCTGATGAGGATCCATCAGATGTTTCTTCAACTGCCTGCAAAACTTTAGACTCAGATTTTTTGTTAGATTTTAATGCTAAAGGCTTACCTTGCTTATGAGGTTCATCAGCTTCTAGCTCTATCTCATGACTTCTGAGGGAGCTGATAAGTTCCTCCAGAGAAATTTTGTTGAGATCTTTTGCTAGCTTCAGAGCTGTAACCATTGGCCTCCACTGCTTTGGTAAGCTTCTGATGATCTTCTTGACGTGATCAGCAGTAGAGTATCCTTTGTCCAGAACCTTGAGACCAGCCACCAGAATTTGGAATCTTGAGAACATTGTTTCAATGGATTCACTTTCTTCCATTTTGAATGCCTCATACTTCTGAATGAGCGCAAGATCTTTAGTTTCTTTGACCTGAACGTTGCCCTCATGCGTCATTCTGAGTGAGTCAAACATGTTCTTTGCTGTGTCTCTGTTAGAGATCTTTTCATATTCAGCATAAGAGATGGCGCTGAGAAGGATGGTTCTGGCCTTGTGGTGATTTTTGAAGTCACGCTTTTGTTGGTCAGACATTGCTTTCCTATCAATCTTCTGACCGCTTGCATTCACAGGGTGCGTGTATCCATCTGTCACCATGTCCCACAGATCAGCATCATGTGCCAGAAAGAAGCTTTCAATTCTGTCTTTCCAATAATCAAAATTTTCTCCATCAAAGACTGGAGGTTTGCCACTGAATCTGTCTCTGTCTTCATTGTTGTCATTGCTGGTGTGTTGATAAGTTCCTGCCATTGTGTTTTTCTGACGATGGATCTTGTACTGACACGGTTAAGTGTTTTAGCTCAAAACCAGGCGCTCTGATACCAATTGAAGAAGTGAAAAATACAAGAAGGGGGGTTGAATTGTAAAAACTGGAAATCAAATGCAATCAACACGATATTTTTATTCTGGTTCGTTTGATCTCAAACTACTCCAGTCCACCCGTCAAGGTAATTTCGCCTCTCTCCAACGAGGTCTTAATCCACTATATTCAACTGAATATTACAATCTGCTTTAGCAACTTCTAGAGCCTTCTTAATGCAAACCACAAACCGGTTTCTCAAGGAATTACTTTCTTACAAAGAATTGAAATCTAGGTGTGTGAATGTTTTCTACAAAACTGTTTATTACAACTGTGATACTACACAATTTAAGCTTATGAAAACTAGATTGCTAAAATAATTGAGTAAGGAATTTGAGAGCTTTTAGCAAACTGAGAGTGAGGAAGATGATGAATAGCTTTTTGGCGTGTAGATTATTGTAGAGCATTAGCCAATTCAATCTTCATTGACTTGTTTATATAGCATTGGAAATAGTGTACGTTGGAGTAATAATTCTGTTTCAATGCCAATAATATTCTTTCCTTATTAAGCAGATCTTGTCTGGAATGATGTCGTTGGTAATAACTCGTCTTGAATGCACAGTACTGTTGCCACTTAAGCGTGTTCTGGCTTTGGCTCATTCTGACGCTGCTTAGGTGCTGATGAACTGTTGTTGTCTTTATCAGAGTTCAGATGGTTAACGCGCAGATCTGTTCATCAAGCTTCAGCATAAGCGCAAGTTGATCTTCTGATTCTGGTATCTGATATAGCATCTTCTGATGCTGATGTTGATATCCAATATTCTGATGCTGATGAGGATGTTCTCCTGCTGATACTCATCAGAGTTTCTGTAAAACAGAATGTAATTTTTAGATAGCATATGTGTCTTACATGAATCATACAATTAATGTATCTTAGCATTTTGTTATCATCAAAACTTAAACTTAGGGTAGTAGATTCAAACTTTGTTCTAACATCTGGCTTCTCCTCATCAAATTTGCTTTTTCTCTGCACCACTAGCTTTATTATGGAATGATTGGAAAGACGGTGGCAAATAACCCTAATGTTGATTCTTGACATATCAAATGAAGTCCAGGAATATAAAATCAATGTTCTTCTAGCGCATGGCAACTCCTCCTCCTCGACTTCTGTCACGGAGTTTCCTAGCTTGGCGGTCTATAATTCTAAGGGTCCATTTTGGACCTCCTTTAGGTCATTTGTAGGCATAAGCATATCTCTTTCAAGTTCTACTTTGCAGTCTAAATCCACAAAGTTCACCTATAATTGTTTGGATGTATTATGGAGACAATTGGCATCATCTTCCCTTCTGATCCTCAATTTTTTCTTGGTAACATCCGCGAGCGATTTCCTGATCACATTGGAACACCAATATGTCCATTTTCGTAGTGGATATTTCATGCTCAAGTAAAGTGTTGACATAACGATCCATATGAGATTAAAACCAGGCCACTTGATGATTATGTTGCACGAATGTAGGGCATTTATTAGGAGATACTGATTTTTTAAAATCATTTTGGCGTTCTCCTTTAGTCTGAACGTCGTCTTGAGAATAATATAATCTTTCACATAGACATGTTCGCCTAAGAAGCCAACAAAGAAACCTCTGAATAATTAGAAGATATTTAGATCTAATTTTATTCTTTCAAAGGCATCTCAATATGAAACATCAATTGTACTTCTCAAATCTATCCTTGTTTGATCTTTTAGTCATCACAATATTATACCTTTATTACCATAAAATCATTTTTATGAGATATGAGGTTATCTTAGAGTTCATCCTCTGAATCTACTTTAAACTTGGTTGAAGAATCTTGAACTATTATAATTTGATATGAATATCTTTTAATTTGACTGGAGAATCTTCTATTATTATGACTTGATATGGATATCTTTTAAGTTGGATTCACTGTATTTCTATTTGGATTTTTAAAAATTTTATATTATTTTGTTCTTTCATCATATATATATATATATATATATATATTTTTTTTTTTTTTGGTACAACTCATCATATATTATAGCATTTCATTCTATGTCTTTTCTGTTAGATATTTTTGTTGAAATAACAATGGTCCTTTTTACTCCATTAAATATTACCGTACTAGTATTAGATTACATCATTAAATAACTAGTATACTGTATTGTGATTTTGAGATGGAAGAGTTGATAATAAAAAACATTTCACCCACTTAAATTCAAATCAAGAATACTATGTAGACAAAAGTGCAACAGCATCACAAGGACAACACAATTATTCAAAAACCTCATTATTACTCCATTATTATTTGCAGTAGAGTAGATATCTCGCTGTCACGCGTATACTGAAAACTTGGTATTCGAATAACCCCTTTAAATTTGCTTTCATCTTAGTTTTTCTCCAAAACTTCATCTTCCTATAAAAATGCTTTGAAAAAGTGAAGAAAAATAGCTACATTATTTGGTGCATTGCATTAATAACAAGATGAAGAAAACAAAAACACAAACAGAAACACTTGTTCTGGTTACAGTGTTTCTAAGTTTAACCTTAAACACACTTTCCCTCTCAACTCTCACAATCAATGACCAAACTCTTACCTTCGAAAATGACCGTCTCAGAAACGCTTACATAGCGTTACAAGCTTGGAAACAAGCCATTCTCTCTGATCCACAGAACTTCACAACCAACTGGGTTGGATCCAATGTATGCAGCTACACAGGCATTTACTGTGCCCAAGCCCTAGACAACCCTCAAATCCGCACAGTCGCTGGCATTGATCTCAACGACGCCGACATTGCCGCTCATTTACCCGATGAGCTTGGCCTATTACAAGATCTGGCACTTTTCCACACGAATTCTAACAGATTATGTGGCACAGTTCCTCACACGTTTGAGAAACTGAAACTTCTATTTGAGTTGGATCTCAGTAACAACAGATTCGCTGGCAAGTTTCCGGAAGTTGTGTTGCGGATTCCAAGCCTTAGATATTTGGATTTAAGGTTCAATGAATTTGAAGGCAATGTTCCCAGGGAGTTGTTTGATTTACAAATAGATGCTCTTTTCATAAATGATAACCGGTTTACGTCGGTGTTACCGGAGAATTTTGGTAACTCTCCGGCGTCTGTTGTTGTTCTGGCCAACAATAAGTTCCATGGGTGTATTCCTTCCAGTATAGGAAACATGTCCAATTTGAATGAAATTAGTTTCATGAACAATTTGTTTAAGTCTTGTTTACCTGATGAGATTGGGATGCTCAAGAATTTGACTGTTTTTGATGTTAGTGTTAATCAGTTTGTGGGGACTTTGCCGGCGGCGATTGGAGGTGCTGTGAGTTTGGAGCAGCTCAATGTGGCGGATAATTTGTTGTGTGGTAAGATTCCGCCGAGTATTTGTATGTTGCCGAATCTGAAGAATTTTACGTTTTCAAATAATTTCTTTACCGGTGAGCCGCCGGCGTGTTTGAGTTTGCCGGCCAGCGATGATAAGAGGAATTGTTTGCCGGCGAGGCCGTTTCAGAAATCGCCGGGAGAATGTGTGGCGTATTTGTCTAAGAAGGTGGATTGTAAGTCGTTTAAGTGTAAGGCGTTTGTTCCTTCTTTTCATTCACCATCGTCGCCGTCGCCGGCAGTGTCACCTACCTCACCACCAGCATTGCCGGGAGTGACACCTTCCTCTCCACCACTGCCGGGAACGGCACATTCCCCTCCGCCGTCAATAGTGTCACCAGTTTCTCCACCACTTCCCGGGGTAGCACATTCTCCTCCACCGCCGCCAGGAACATCACATTCCTCTCCACCACCGGGGCATTCACACTCTTCTCCACCGGGACATTCACCACCTCCATCTACTTCTCCAACAACTCCAGTGGGGTCGCCACCGTCACACACTCCAATGCCGTCATCTCCGCCACTAAATACACCACCAGCGCCTGCTCCTCATTATGGCTCATCGCCGCCACAGGCTCATTCACCTCTACCGTCACCCTATCCTCCCCATGTCCATTCACCACCACCGGGAATGACACCTTCCTCTCCACCGGAACATTCACAACCTCCATCTACATCTCCAACACCTCCTCTGGCATCACCACCATCTCCACCACTAAATTCACCACCACCTACAGGTTCTCATCATGGCCGATCACCTCATCCTTCCCCTGTTCATTCCTCACCACCACCTCCACCATCTTCCACACCACATCCACCTGTATATGCTTCTCCACCTCCACCACCTTCTTCATCTTCCACACCACATCCACCTGTATATGCTTCTCCACCTCCACCACCTTCTTCATCTTCCACACCACATCCACCATCTTCCACACCACATCCACCTGTATATGCTTCTCCACCTCCACCACCTTCTTCATCTTCCACACCACATCCACCTGTATATGCTTCTCCACCTCCGCCAATTCATCATACTTCTCCATCGCCACCACCTCCTTCCCCTATCCATCACAGTTCGCCGCCTCCACCACCTACCCCTGCATATGGAGGACCTTTGCCACCAATCGTCGGACTCCCATACGCGTCACCTCCACCACCTCCTTACTATTGATCCTTTTAGTATCATATCTCCTTTTACCCTTTTCCTCTACAATCGACACAAGTCATTTAGTCACGTTTTTGCTATTGTGACTGAGAATCTGAGATTCTCCTCTTTTATATTATGCTACTATGTTAGAGAAGAAAGCCTCTAAGTATTAATTTTGCATTGTTATCATTATGAATATTCTGAGTTGTGAAATGTAAGACTAGTTTGTAGAGAAGAAGAAAATGTATGTATGGAAATCAAGAATTCATGGCCATGGAAACTTTTCATTTCCAATTTAGTATATGTAATGTATTATTATAGTTAATCAACATTTCATTTCACTTTTATTCATCTTATGCAATCAGATTTTGGATTTTGAATGTTTCTGCTATGTTTTGAAATTTGATTTGAATCTTTTTCCTTGCTAGTCATCATCAATATGATGCTGCATTAGTGTTCATCATTTTTTGAGCAATGAATTTGTAATTCATTCATTGTCTTGGAAATAATAGTGTTGCTAAAAACCATGTTAGTAGATGGAAATTATATTCAATACAGAATAATGATGGTGGTGGATGGACATCCCAATGGAGATCCAGCAAAAGTCAATTTATTTAATCAAGTCCTGTTCTTGATTACTTAATTGGAGTAGTTTTTTTGGAACAGTTTATTTGATTAATAGTAGCAGTGTTGTTTAAAATTTCCCACCAACCATGTGCTAACTGTGTTCTTAGTTTTGAGATTTGAGTTACACATTTTCCCATTCATTGTGAACGTTAGAACTGTTAAGCTTGTTGGGTAAAATAGTAACTAAACTGTATCCATGTAACTCTTTCTCAAGGCACTGTCTCTCTGCAGTGAAATTTTGATGGTAGTGATGTTTGTATAAAGTATATTTGTTTATCAGTTCTCAACTGCTATTGCTTTTGATGTTAAAAATTGATTTTTCTAAAAGTAATGTAAAATGACATTATCATGGATTTAAAACATTACAACATGTTAATGTTATGTTCATTATTTTAATACTAAAAATATTAGTGACGTGATTATCACGTCGCAACTGCCTTTTTTTACCATATGATAATCACGTCACAAATTAACGTCGTTGGGAAGAGCTTTTTTGTAGTGCAGGGACTGCAACCCTTCGTTGTAAAATAACACTTCTGCTGAAGTGTGAGTGCGATTCTACTGGAGACCTCGTATCTTATTCGTCATTGCAAGTTGTGTCGGTACATAAATTTGTATTGATTCTACCGCATCCAAAGCTAGGGTTGATCGAACCTTCGGCCAGTTTGTTTGTGTGCTAATTGATACGGATTTGGCTCTTCCTCTTAATCACAATGTGTTGGTTGAAAGGGAAGGGTTTGCGTTCTTCGCAGATATTGAGTACGAAAACATACCAGAGTTCTGCAACCACTGTAGGAAAACTGGTCATGTAATGCATAATTGCAAGTTGATAAGAAAGCCTAACATGCCTTTGGCAAAGCCTCCAGGCCAGGCTGTTCAGAAATCGGTTCTGAAACCTCCGGAGGTAGGCGTTAGTATTAACCCTCCAGAGGTTGGCATTCATCATAGCTCTCCCGAGGTCGATTTAAACCTGAAATCTGTTCTTGATGTTGTGGTGGTCCAGCATACTAACGAAGAAGAAGATGATTTGGTGGATCAAAGACATTTATAAGGAGAAAGGATAGAACAGGATTTGTCGAATGAAGACATGGCCGAGGATGAACCTCAGTTGGTACCTAGCAATTTGAACAATTTTGTTTCGCGTTCTCCTGAAGATACAAACTCCCATTTTTCTGATTTCGTTGATGCTAGGCAAGTTGGTGTTGCAAACTATCAGGAGGATTCATCTTTCCTGCAAAAATCTTGGTCTAACTTGGAGGTAGATCCTGAGCACTCCGGAGGGGCCTTCTCTAATGCAGTATCAGTCCTCAAGAAGAAAAAGTCAGCTAGAACAAAGAAGAAGCTTTCTATTAGGTCTCAAGCAGAACCAAAGAAGTTGTCCTCAATGAAGTTACATCGCAATTCAAATTTCTGCACGCCTGGACTTTACACGAGAGTTGCAAAGATTTGATTCAAGCTGTTTGGTCTCGGAACATAGTCGGTTGTCCTATGTTTGTTCTTAACAAAAAGCTGCACCTTTTGAAGAGGGATCTTAGAGGGTGGAACAAAAATATTTTAGGCAATATTACAAAAAATGTTAGAAGCGCAGAAGATAGTCTTGCGAAGGTTCAGGAGCAGATTCATTTGGATGGTATTAATGATATGCTTAAGCAGTAGGAATTCGAGGCGCATGCTAAGCTTTCCAAAATGCTGGTCATGGACGAGAGTTTTTGGCGAGACAAATCCTGAACTAAGGCGTATTTTCATCGGATCACCAAAATTAAGCAGAAATTCAAACCTATTTCTATGCTAAAGGAGGGAGATAGGCTAATTACAAATACTAAAGAAATTGCTGACCACACTGTGGATTATTTTAAATCCCTGTTTTCTTCTAACCTTTCCATTTTGCAGGACTTTAAGATGGTGGATGACATAATTCATTCTTTGGTGGATGACAAAACTAATCACACTTTGATGGCCATCCCTTTTTTGGATGAAATTTCTGCCGCGGTTTTCAATCTAAATAAAGACAGCGCCCCGGGCCCGGACGAATTTGGAGCCATGTTCTATTTGCTGCAGTTTTTTAATTATGGCTGGATGCTGCCAGGATTTAATGTCAACTCCATCATCCTTATTCCCAAAGTTTAAAGGTGCCGTTTCGCTGGATTTGTTTTGATCCATTGCAGTGTCTAATTTCAAGTTAAAAATCATCTCAAAGATCTTAGTTGATATGCTGAGAGCTATTATACCTTTTCTTGTGTCGAAGGAGCACCGAGGTTTTATACAAGGTAGACGCATTCACGATTATATCGGGTTAGCTTCTGAAGCGTTTAATTTGCTTGACTCTAAATCTTGGTGTGGAAATATGGCTTTAAAGGTGGACATCACGTAGGCTTTCGATACAATTAACTAGGATTTCCTGTTAAAAGTTTTGCGCGATTTTGGTTTTAATGATAGATTCTGCTTCTGGATTAATACTCTCCTGCACTCAGCGCATCTCTCTATCAATGTCAACGGTGCTCTCTCTAGCTATTTTAATTGCTCACGTGGTGTGCGAGAAGGAGATCCTCTTTCTCCTCTTCTATTTTGTCTCGGTGAAGAAGTGCTTAGTCAGAAGTTGCTGCAGTTGGTTGATAATAATAAGCTCAATTTAATCAAAGGGCCTAACAACATCAAGGTTCCTTCCCATATTTTGTATGCTGACGACGTTTTCATTTTTTGCAAAGGCAAAATCTCAAATATCAAAAATCTGAAGAAATTGAAGAGAAATGGGAGTGGACTTTGAACTTTCTTTCTTTATAAAAATGTCCAACTAACTTTCAGTATGAGTACATAGTGATTTATATAGGATCACAATATGGAATATTAAGAGTTACAGCAATAACTATTTCTAGTTCCCTAAAGGAATAAACTTCCCACTGTCCAAGGGAATCTGTCTTTTGCATTACCCAAGACTGATTTGAATTTAACCAACAAAACTCCCCCATAAATTCAAATATTCCTTCGATCCATCATGCCTAGCATTTTCTTGCCTCTGTCGAATAGCTCATTCACAGTGGTTTTGTAAGAATGTCTGCTGCTTGATCCTTGCTTGCAACATGCTTCAGTTTGATGCTTCTATTCTTCACATGTTCTCGAATAAAGTAGAATCGAAAATCAATGTGCTTTCTTCTTTCGTGGTTGACTGGATTCTTCGCCAGTTCGATTGCAGATTTATTGTCGACTTGAATTATTATTGTATCTTCCTGTTTTGATTTCATCATGCTCAGCAATCTTCTCAGCCATATTGCATGGCATACACACTAGGATGCTGCCACGTACTCTGCTTCACAGGTCGAAAGAGTTACTATGGGTTGCTTCCTTGACAGTCAGGTGAATGCAGTATTTCCCATGAAGAACACATATCCTGAAGTGCTCTTTCGATCATCTATGTCACCACACCAATCGCTGTCAGAGTAGCCAGTCAACTTGTATTCTTCTGCTTTCAAATAAAACATTCCAAGTGACATAGTTCCTTAGACATATCGAAGGATTCTCTTCAGAGCTTTCCATTGTGCAAAAACTGGTTCTTCCATGAAATGACTCATAATTCCAACACTCAGCGAAAGATCTGGCCTTGTGCGTGTGAGGTATCGAAGACTTCCCACCAAGCTTCAAAATTTGTTTGCTTCGACACGCTCTCCCCCATCTGTAATACCCCAAATTTGTCCTATCCTTTTACTTTTATCTGGCTTATGCATTGTCGCGCTTTTCTCATGTACATAACTCCATTAGGTCATTCAACATTGCATACATTCACTAACACCATAACTTCGCAAGGGATCGAGAACCTTCAGGATTAGGGTTTTATCAACTGACTGAGGTGTATATGTTCAATAGAGCCTGATTCTTCTGGTTATTTTTCAAGGCAGTGAAATTGTGGAATTAGGGTTTTGTGTTCATGGATGTTGTGGATCTTTTCTTCATTAACATACAAGGTCATCCTCCGTTAAGAATTCATCAAACAAAAGTTGATTAGGGTGTCACATCTTCTATGTTCGAATTTGTAGTATCTATCGACTGAGGTTCATTGGGCTTCATATTACGTTTATTTCTAGACTTCAAGGCGCCCTCAAGACATTGTTGTTATCCATGAAGTCAAAATATAGTGTGGATTGGATTGTAAAATGCAAGCCGTGGTATATAGTTTGAAGTTGTAAGTCCATTGAGTTCAAAACTTCATCGTTCTTTCGAATACTTGTTACCTCAATCGCAAGTTAACTTGGATTACTGATGATTATTGAATTAGATTCGTTGAAACTTTTAATCATGCTCGGATTTGATATTGATTCAAGATAGGGGTGGGAGATTTATTCATATGGTTTCTAGGAAGATTCATTCATTCAAATATCATTCAAGGGGGAAATATCTTGATAAGA